CCCGTTGTAGTGGGGTTCAAATCTGTCGTCTGCTATCGAACTGGCTTGAACGTTCAATCCGCTGACGACGAGGGTGATGACAGCCGTTTACTGCAGTCTTTTGCCCGAACAATCCAGCAAGGGAGTGGTTCTTCGTACCGTATCGAAGACAAGCCCTTAAACGACTGGGTGGTTCGGCAGACTCTGGACTTAGTCCAAGTCGCCCGTACCACAACACCTTCAGGCCCTAATAAACCACTGCAACTTCACACTGGACTGGGTGATAATGATATCAACTTGATCCTCTCAAACCCCGCCTACCTACAAGATTTAATTGCACGATATCCCAAGGTGGACTTTGTTTTGTTACACTCTTCTTACCCCTACACCCGCGAGGCAGGTTACCTTGCATGCGTGTTCCCTAATGTCTATCTGGATCTAGGAGAAGTGTTTCCGATGGTGAGTCGGGATGCTCAAGAGTCTATAATCAGAGAGAGCTTGGAAATAGTGCCGACCAACCGGCTCCTGTGGAGCACTGACGGCCACTTTTATCCGGAGACGTACTGGCTTGCTAACAAGCAATTCCGCGATGCACTAGAGAAGGTTCGTACGAACTGCCTATGATTTATTGACGTTGTGAGCTTACCCAGTTTAGGTTCTTGTGGACTATGTCCGTCAAGGTGATTTCGCCATTGACCAGGCTAAGGCCGCAGCCGCAGATATTCTTTTCCAGAACTCGAATCGCCTTTACAGTTTGAACGAGACTGCAGCTTACGACAAGACACATAAGCCTTTGTCTCGCCCCTTACAGGGATCATCAAGCGATGATTGGGAGTGCTTTGTACGAAACAATCCGGATGTTAAGTACATATGGCTGCAGTTCTTCGATTACACCGCGACGTTACGCCTACGCATTTTTCCGGTGCAGGAATTTACCAAGATCGTACGCAACCAACGTCGCATTGGAGTCTGTCTAGCCACTCAGCAGATGCTTCAAAACGACTCAGTATGCCCCGAAGGCTCTACAACTGGCCAGTTCTACATGCAGCCGGATTTATCTACACTTTCCCGCAATGTGGGGCTGGACTCCAAAAGTGCAACCGTTATGAGCTGGTGGTTTACAGAGGAAGGCACACCTTTGCCGGGATGCCCTCGAAGCCTTCTGCAAAATGTGACCGCCCGGCTGCAGACTGAACATGGTATTCAAGTCCTTTGCGGCTTTGAGATCGAAGTTGTGTTTATGAAATGCATTATAAACCCCGATACCAACAAGGAGGAATTCGTTCCGTGTGTGAAAAATCATTCTTGGTCGCAAATGACCAGAGAGACCAGGCGCATGGTACCTTTACTCGAAGAGATTGCCGAGACTCTTGCGTCTATCGGCATTGACCTCCAACAGTTCCACGCCGAATCCGCTCCAGGTCAATTCGAATTTGTCCTTCCGCCTGGGTCACCTGTGGCGGCGGTTGATACCCTTCTGAAAGCACGGCAGGTAGTAACTCAGGTTGCTGAACAACATGGTCTTCGCGCGACGTTGCATCCCCGTCCTTATCCTCATGCTGCTGGCACAGCTTCTCACGCGCACCTTTCTATCACCCCATCCACGAAGGAGGATAGCTTTCTTGCAGGTATTCTTCAGCACTACCCAGCCCTGATGGCCGTTGCTCTCGCCGGAGAGGTTAGTTATGATCGGGTGTGCTCTGGTCTATGGGCCGGAAGCGAGTGGGTTACCTGGGGTACCCAGAACCGTGAGACTCCAATCCGAAAAATCTCCGCAGGGCACTGGGAGATTAAGACCTTGGACGGACTCGCAAATATGTATATAGCCATGTCGGCATTTTTGGCTGCGGCCTACCTTGGCTTGAAGACCAATGAACCATTGACGGCTTCTGATTGTCCATGTGAGTATCTCTAATTCTGGTTTCAGATGCCAGAATCTGCCTTGGCGTTTCCCACGTGCTGACTTAGGATAGATGACGCTGCAACCCTGGACGAAGCGGGCCGTCAATCTTATGGCATCACTACCCAACTGCCAAAGTCGCTTTCTCAGAGCCTTGAGCAACTGGAAGCGGATACTGCTTTGCAGGACATTCTTGGAGCAACTCTAGTCGAGAACTACCTTCTCGTCAAACGCGCAGAGAAAAAGAAGTTGGATTCAATGGACGAAGATACACGGAGACAGTGGCTGTTGGAGCGATATTGATCCGAGCGGAGCGCATATTTGATGACATAGCGAAACGATTTTCCTGAGACGGCCAATACTTCTACTTCTTTTGAATGATGCCCGTTCGAGCTGGTAATTCCAAAGGTGTCTGTTAGTGGACTCGAATAATGAATGGATAATGTTGATTCCGGCATCTTGAAATACGATACATAAGAATCACGGGGTTTCTTCCTAGTGCAAAAGGCCCTCCATCATACAGATGTGCCGCCTCATCCACTTCCAGTTTGAGGTAACTTCTTCCCATCCCAACCCAACAATTGCCTCTAGCATCACTTACAGACGGATTAAGAGGGCGAAAGAATCACTACTACATGCCAGACCAAAATGTCGCAGAATGCTTATGACATCACAGGATTATTTGGATAATGTATTTGACTAATTAGTATACTGCTCAGAAGACACCTGAGAATCATGACCTCGTATAGGGGCTCAGCGCTTGCGCACCGCGCACCAAAAAAGTAAACAAAGAATGATATACACTCAGACAGTAGACAGGGGTATCGAACAGTTTCATCATCGGACATTGTAGTCAGCCGTAAGCTCATCTCGAAGGCATTCCCAGCAGCTCTCCGAGTTCATCACTGGTCAGTGTGCTTCTGCGCCGGTCACGTTGCGCTTTGCTAGAACCCTTGAGATTCCGGCCGCGTTTGCGGCTCTCGTTCTCCTTACGTGTTTGCTCGGCAGCCCGAGCCTCGTTTTCTACTGCGGCTAGCTTTTGTGGCACACTCATTCGCGATGGATTGGAGCTCTGGTTTTTGTATTAGTTAGAATGATGTTTTCGATCACAGGCAAGAGGCTGACTTACTTGAGGAGAAGCAGCCTTAGACTCGGTCTTTTCCTTGGCTGTCCTGCGCGTCACCATCTTAGAGCGGTGGGCTTTTACTGGGACGATTTCATCTTCGGGTGGCGAGACAGTGTTGGGTGAGTTCTGAAGCCCGGGCGTGAATGAAACCTTTCTAGGCGATCGTCCTGCCATGATATTGTCGCTTTTCTCCTTCAAAGCCTTGTTGTTCTTCTTCACCTTGATTTCGCCTGACGGTGGCTTGATCTTTCGATCAGACAAGGCGCGATTAGTCTTGCTGGAGGCGAATGGTGCTTTTTTCTCCTCTTTTTCTTCTTCCTTAGTCGGCTGATCCTCAAGGACAGGCGACTGCATGGCCGCTTCCTGACCGTTATCTTCTTCTTCTTGTCTCTGAGTTGCATCCAAGCGGAAATTGAGACTCATTCCCCGACGGAGCTCCTCCGCCTGCACTGAGTGTCCTCCATCAGCAATGCGCCTGTGCCACCCATCCATCATCGTCAGTGCCTGGCTCCATCTGCCCTCCATCTTCTCCCAGCCTTCGCGGAGACGTTTTATTTCTTCGTCGCGTACTTCGACCTCCTCAAGCGGTACGAATGAAGGATTGGTGAGCAACGTTCGGAGATGATCGAGTACGCGGTCCATCTGGGCGGATAGCTCGTCGCACGAGGCCGGAAGACTAGTGACCGAGCCATGGGACAATCTGGGAGCCCTCAGGCTCATCGTGCCGGCGAGACCGCCTTCCTCCTCCTCTGTAGACGACAAGCCCTGCAAGTCCTTGAGAGTCTCGACTGTGTTCCGTGCTAGTTTGATAAGGGTATCATTCTCGTCGCTCAAATTCTTGCAGAGCTCGGTCAAGAAGTCGTTCGTTTCTTGCTTCAGGCTATAACCGGGATCGCTCAGACCTTCGCCACCGGCGATAGATCTTGGACGCGGACGCTGGCCGGTGGCTGGGTTGATATTGATGGTTGTGACCGTCAGTCCATCCCTCCTTCCTCGTTGTCGCTCTGCCAGGTGCATCTTGAGCTTCTGCATCTCGGAGTCGCGCTTGCGAATGTCATTGGCGCATTGAGCTCGAATTTGCTGGACAGTGGCTCTCATTCGCTGCACTTGCTCCTTCAGTCCTCGGATAGTCGCCTCAGCCCCTGAGATGGTGGCCTTCAAGGACCGTTCTTGCGCTTCAGCCAAAGCCAACGATCGGGTGAGTTCGGATGCCTTCGCCTTGAACTTGTCCTGTTTCAAAGTCGTCAGCATCAAGCACATCCGGGGACCGCTAAGCGTATCATGTCTCGCACCAGTTCCGCAGTTCTGTGAGACTCCTCCGCTCGCAGAGTCCTGATCGTAGTTGCGAGGCTCTCTCGGTGTTCGGCTTCCCGCTGCAAGACTGTCAGCCAATTGCTAATCGGTGAGAGCCAGTCCAGTCACATACATCTCTGCGCAGGACCAAGTCATTGACCAAATCGATGATCCTGCCCATGGTGGCTACGGAGCCTCCATCTTCATCCTCGGGATTGGCGAATTCGATGGGGCGGCCGCTTTTCAACAGACCCCTGGCCAATAGTACATTGTTGATGTAGGTGGATGCAGCCTGCAGATTCTGTGGCTCCATGGCTTGCCAGCAAGCTTAGTGGCACGCAGGTGCCTATGCAGAGAAAACTGCTCTAAACGAAGCTGAGTCGAACCGTCGTCTTTTCTTTTGATTTGCCCGACTGTTATTTTTCTGTCGCGGACGGAAACCCCCCAAAACAGGAAGAATGTAAACACCGCTCACCGCCCACCGCCCACCGCCCGCGCACATCGTCCCATCGTCCCACCGCCCCGGTTGGCCTCTCCGGCCGGCAATAACAGCCATTCTCGCAGCTCTGCTTACCTCAGCCACTTTATCGGGCGTTAACTTCGGTATCCACTTTCCTTATCGTGCGCGTTGTCCACGCGTTTCCCTCACTTTTCCCTAATTCGGCTTCTACTCTTCTATGTTGTCTCAAACGCCTGGCCATTATGACACCGGTCATTCGCAGCGAGGGAGACTCCCTGCAGCAGCGAGGACAGTTACTCTTCAAGCAGGGTAACTATCAGGGTGCTCTGGATGCGTTCACCGAGGTACTGATTGCCCTTCGCGGTCGATAAGGTCAGGAAACTGACTGATATGGCTCCATAGGCCCTCTCTTGTAAGAAGGCGGATGTGATGAGCATACTTGATAATCGAGCAGCTACATACATCAAGCTTGCCCAGTATGACCGAGCTCTGACCGATTCTCGAAACATGATTCGGAAGGACACCAAGGACGGACGGGTATGCTCTGCCTCGTATCGCATTGACATTGCTGCCACAAAGTGCTAAGTCTGGGCTTTTAAAGGGTATTCTACGCTATGGTCAAGTCTTACTCTTGACTGGTGATCGTGCCAAAGCCTTGAAAGCATATGGCTACGGGCTGAAGTCACTGTCCAGTGATAACCCGCGTCGCAAGGTACGTGGGTACCCTGCCGTAAAAAATAATCTGCCTCTGGGGATGATGTGTACTGAAGTGGATTAGCTTGTCCTCCAAATGTACTGCAAAGTGCGTGATGCTGCGGCAGTCAAACGTCTTGATCCTTTCAGTGTCCTGCCGCTCGAGGTAGCTATGATGGTCCTCCGACATCTGACTTTCCGGGAAATTGTGTAAGCGCAGTACAACTGTCCATTGTCATCGTTATCACTGACAGTCAACGCTTTAAGGATTTGTACTCGCGTGTCCAAAGGATGGCAACAATTTCTGTCATTGCAGGATCTGTGGATGCGTCTTGATCTTAGCGAAGCCCGTCGCAAAGCGACATCGCGCTCCATCCGAACATACATTCAGCGTTCGCGTGCCATGCTTACCCATGCTATGGTGACCAACATAGCGACTACTTCTCATGGAAAAGTGCTTGAATATTTCAGTAGATGTCCGAAGCTGGAGAGCCTGGAGATTGGCGATCCCATCCAGCGTCATGACAGACTATACGACCATTTTAAGAGCTGCAAACAATTGAAGACTCTGGTCATCGCTAAAGGAACACCTGTATCACAAGAGAACATCGCCAATTTCTTGACGAGCCTCACCAATCTCGAGCGCCTAGAGATTCATAATGCGCAGCCTTCACCTGAGATCAAAGTCCGCTGGCCCGCCCATCTCCCAAACTTACGGAGCATTACCCTCTCTACTGAAGGAGCAGCCGTGCCACCACCAGGTCGCGTAGCTGCTCTCTATCTCCCGGCTGCAACGGTATGTATCGCATAATCGCATACTTCCTGTTCCTGCTTATTAATTCTTCATCATTGGACCAGGCTAACCCTGAAAGGAATCGCAACCCTGCATCATGCCTAACCTTGAAGAGATTCGGATCGACTCGTACCCCAGAATCTGGTCACCATACACGCTATCATTCGACCCCAACCAATTCCCCAAACTACGAAGATTAGAACTGAAAGGCGTCTTCATCGGAAATTTCGCATTACCCTCCACCCTCGAGCACCTCAGCATCCACGCGGGCACCTGCCCCCTTGGCCAAGTGTTCCCTTTCCCCTTCGACCAATCTCCACACCTCCGACACCTACACACCCTCATCCTCCGCGACCTCGACTGGGTCACCCACAATACACTCCGCAAATTCCTCGTCACCGCCGAGGCGCCGATCCGGAAGCTCGTTGTGACCAGCTGCCCGAGGCTCGATCATGCGCAGCTGGAGCGCATCTTCACCGAACATCCCGTGGACCTAACCGAGCTCGGGATCTGTGCTCTGCGCGGCGCCACTGACATGAGCGTAAAGGCGCTGGTTCGGCATCTGCCACATCTGTACGCTTTGGACGTCTCGGCCACCGATGTCACCGGGCGTCTGGTCAGGACGTTCGCTGATCCGGCGTCGTCGTCATCGGAGGTTTTGCCGCGACTGAAGTACCTGAACGTTGCGTACTGCGAACATGTTCTGTATGAAGCCGTCGCGTATGGTCGCGCGCACAATATCAATGTCGTTACGCGCTGAGCTAGTCATGAAGACCACATGCCAGACAAGAACTTTTGGCTCGGTTCGTTGACCTCGTTAATTGACCTCGTTCGTTGACCTCATTCGTTGACCTCGACAAACGTCTGTCTTTATACTGCAGCGACTTGTCTTCCGCTTTTAAGCGTCAGCTTGGCATTATTTGAGTTGGACAAAGGACACACTGCCTATAACTTCTTTCATAATAATTGGATCAAACCGAGCACAATAGCCACGAGCACAATACACCACCATCACTGTCTCACAAAATTACCAGGAAGGGCGATTTCTCAAGGAAAAACGTCATGAACCCAGCGCCACGATCCCGACTCGATCAACGGAAGCAAATGTTATGTTCTTCTGTGATTGAGTCTAGTGGAGAGCATCACAAGTCAACATCAATTGTTGTTTGAGTTTGCCTCCCGGGAAGGAGTCTTACCAAAATTATCTACATACCACAGCTGAGTGATATCTATGCGAGAAGTTTGATGAGTTGACGTATATTCTGTAAATCTCTATCCACTCCTAGAACTATTTAATGCCCCCAACCCAAATTCAAGGCTTCTAAGCATCCCACCAGCCCTCCAGATATGTCCGCAAGTCAATCGTATCCGGCCTGTTCAGGTGCGGCGTCAAGTCGGCCCCCGTCTCGAGTTCCCTCTGCGTCCACCCATTCCCAAAGTACGCGAACCGATTTCCGCTCGGATTGGTGTAGGTGTACTCCCAATCTTCCCACCGAGGATCCCGCCGCAGGTAGTTCAAATGCGACGCGCTGCCGGGAAAAAGGCCATGGATGCGGCCGCCCGGCCGACCGCCGTTATACCACGAGCGACAGTTCTTCTGTCCGGGGGTCGAGTCATCGTTGCCCGTCCACACCGTGCGTGGGTAGAAGGTATCACAGTACTCGACAAAGTCATCCGTCGCCGCCTTGGACGGCACCAGGGACTTGATGCCCTGCGCGCGGAGCTTGCGCAGCAGCTTGGCGATGTACGTGATCTGGTTCTCCAGGCAGTTCGGCACGCTGCCCCCCTGGCCGGTGGAATGGGGCCCGCCGATCCACAGCAGATTCGGAAATCCCGGGGTGGCCATGCCGAGGTAGTTGTAGGGGAAGCCGTACAGGCCGTCGTGCGTCCATGCTTCCTTCAGGTCGACGTTGTTGGCGATGATCGAGAACGGGGGCGCGTGGTCCACGTTCGCCCCCGTCGCGCAGATGACAATGTCCACGGGCCGCTCGACCCCGTCGGTGGTGACGATGCCCGTCGGCGTGAACCGCTGGATGGGCGTCTGGATGTAGCTGACGTTTTCTTGGCCCAGGGCCTCGAGGTAGCCTGGCCCCGGCGTGGGGCGCCTGCAGTTGGGCGGGAAGTCGGGGATGATCTTGCCGGCTAGGGTGGAGTCCTTCCCAATGCGTGAGAGCATCAATGTGGTCCACTTCTCGCGGAGCTCCTGGTTCTCCGGTGTGTTCTTGAAGACCGCTCCGAAGCGTGAGAAGTAGCCTTCTTCCACACTTTTGCGGTACTGGAGATAGGTGTCGGGGTCCTTGAACGATTCCAGCTGTGCTTCGGAGAAGAGGTTGGGCTCGAGGCGACGAACCCCTGTCGTGCCGAAGGAATCGGCGACCCATGTGCGATTACGCGCGTAGTGATCTACATGTCGTGCGATGGGTTGGATGGATGGTAGGACTTGCAGACCGGAAGCTCCGTTTCCGATAAGGGCAACTCGTTTTCCCTGTAGATCAACCTTGTGGTTCCAGTTTGAGGAGTGAAAAAGAATGCCTTCGTATGTGTCGATGCCCTCGTAGTCAGGCAGCTTCCACGCGTTGAAGTGGCCGATGGCGTTGATCAGCACATCGAGCTCTTCTTCGTAGCGCTACCAGCGACATTAGAATCTGCTTCTTTGCGATGAAAAGTAGGTAAAGCATACCCTAGGTGTCTGCTGGTCCTTCAGATCTTGAATTGTCACCAGCCATTTCCCTTTCTCGGGCTGCCAGACCGCACGCTCGATCTTCTGCTGCAGACGCAGATACTTGTAGACGTCATATTTCCTAGCGAGTCCTTGCCAATACGATCTGATCTCCGCTCCTTGTGCAAACTCCTCCGTCCATTGTGTGTTCGGAGAAAAGCCGGACTGATATACGTGCGCGGGAATATCGCAACGAACCCCGGGATATGTATTTTCGAACCTAATCTATCAGCAACAACGATCAAGGAATGATAAACCTCCAAGAAACCTACCATGTACCTCCCTGTCACCACTTGCGTTATTAGACTTTCGGATGAGTTGGTAGGAAAGGTGACTTACCACATCAGCATTCTTCTCATAGATCCGCAAATCTACTCCGGGGACCTTCGCTGGAAATAGAATCCCCGCTGTGATACCGGCAAGGCCGGCTCCAATCACGCCGACTTTGATCGGTCGGACTTGGTCAATTGGATGCTCTTCTATCTCGAAGGCTGGGCGTTGATGATCGTCGGCCTTGGTGGTTTCCACTGCTTGAGTGAGAGCTTCCTTTGCCGACAGAGCGCCATCGTGGCCATTCCGTATCGGCAGTTCGGTATGAATGGCTTGTGGACCTTTGACTGCTGCCATACTTCTATAGGATCTATGGTTGTAGTGAATAGTTGGGGTAAACTGGAACTGTGGTCGACCCCTCCGTTGATATAATGGCCTCGTGAACTGGGAGGGGAGGGGGAGGGGTAGAGCCGGCGGTGGACCATGGATACCGCCGCGGCTACCTCAATCTGCACGCCATTTGCACCATTTCTGAGGTCACGTAGATTGCCTGCAGACCAGCCATTCAACTTCAACATTCTCCCGGGATCGCATCATCGCAGATAGCGATGGTGTGACATCGAAACCGATGCGCCCGCATACTTGATAATTAGAAGAGCGCAAGAAGAACAAGGGTCGAGATCGTTTCAGGTTAAAATCAAAACCGAAGCACACCTCCTGGGAGAGTATGTATTTGGAAGAAAGGAAAGAAAGAAGCGAGGACCGATGATCGATGATCGATGCATACAAGGGAAAGGAGAGTTGCAAACGCTGCAAACCCCCAGAGTGCCGGGCCTTACAAGTAGCAGCACCAGGCACCAAGGCATTAATCACATTTATTTCTTGAATATATACAAATTCATACACTTCAGTCCACAGGATCGACCGCCTCCCCAGAAATGAGCTACACACTTAATTAGCCCCACGGCGGGTTTTCCTCTTCTTAGTGGTCTGAGCCTTATCAGCCACCTGCTCCGGATCCACAGCACGTGCTTTACGCGCCCCCCGTTTGGTGCCCGCTTCTTTGGCAGACGAGAGCTGGTTCTCGGGCGAGACATCAGCAGTGGGAGCAGCCTCCCCGTCCGAGGAGTAGGGTGCAGCAGCAGTCCCAGCCTGCTGTTGAAGGCGACGGAAGGCCTTCTCCATTCGACTCTGGCCGCCCGTACGGACACGAGGAGCGAATGCGCCCGCACCCTGGGGCCCCGTAAAGAAGTTGGTGATATTTGATTGAGTGCCTTCTTGCTCTCGGCGATTCATGTCACGGATTACAGGCACGAGAATCTCATCGGTCCGCTCTTGACTCCATCCAACGGTCGACATCAAGAAGTTGCGTAGACCATGCAGGTCAGGCACGCCCCACTGGAAAGGTGAAGGGTCGGAGTCCACCTCAGGCTCAAGATAAGCGATGTCTACCCGGTGATCAGGAAAGGACGGCGGCAAAAATAACTTCGCAGCTTGTTTCTTGAACCTTTTATAAAAGGCAGCATGCTCACTGTCACTCATATTGGCCCCCGTCTGCACCCGTGTCCACCATTCGTTGAATTCTTCCAAGTCGGCAAATTCTGTAAGAATTTCCAATGCAGTTACAGGGCCAATTCCGGGAATACCTTCCGTATAATCGCTGCCCAAGAGATGGGCAAGTCTGATCAGCTTGGTGCGATGGAGGGCATATTCCTTCTCCAGGTCAGAAGACAAGTAGCATTCGACGAACTTGCCCTGGTTGAACATGTTCTTGTATATTCGTGTGCCACCGAATAGGAAGCAATCGCTATCATCAGTGATGATGCCATCAACGAGTCCTAAAGAAACTAATTCCGCGCACTGAGCCTCAGCTTCCATGGGCGCGGTAACATACGGCAAGCCGAACAGCGACAGCAGCTGCTGACACTCCGTGATCATGACCTGTGACACCTCATCGGCATCTCGGCGATCCTTCTTCTGCTGAAATCGTAATTGCTTCAGCTCCTGCTCATAGTCGAATGCACTTGCAGGATTCGTCTCAGAGTTCAATGCAGCAGCAAATCGGACATGCTCTTCGCCTTCAGCTGCAAGCTGCTGCATTAGATCCTCGTCTTCAGGATCAGAAAAGTCTTCCTGTTCAATGCTGTCTCCTGTGTCAACAAGCTCAAAAACTGGTGCATCTTCTGCGACAGACTTGGTATTATCAGCTATGTCTCCAGTTGTTGTCACAACGTCCTCGAAATCATCTTGCGCTACAGGCATAGCATCGTCAGGCATGCCAGTATGCGGTATGGCAACATCCTCGAACTCAGGAGTTGGAGATGATTCGGACCGTGCAACATTGGCGGTTTCAGTAGTGTCGGCTATATTGCCATTAGATAAACTTGGTTCGAGTTCATTGACTGATTCGAAGTCCTTTGGAATGTCATTAGGATATGTCTCGGGTGGAGAATGTTCAGTAGACTTCTCAGAGCCGGGCACCTCCACAGTGGTCAGTGTAGTGTGTATTGTCGGGGCACTACTAGGAATCGGTAAGCTCTCTTCCCCTTCAGACTCGGAATCAACATTGATGACCTCTTTTCTGCCCACGGGTTTACGAGTGTATTTGTGGTTTGCTGCCTCATCCCGTACGAAAAGTGCGCCCGAGTCGTGCTTCTCATCACGAGGTTCCCTAGCTGGTCGAGATTCAACCTCGTCGGCGATGAAATCAGCATTATGATTATCGCGGGATGCTGCTGAGAACCACGGTGGCAAAGGCAAAGCCTCTTTCTTGGGCTTCGTCGCCTCCCCTTCATCCTTAGCTTGGTTTTTCTGGATTTCCTGCTCTTTTCGTGGCTCATGGACCTTGTTTGGCTTCATTAGCTGCATTGACTCGAAGGGCAAAGGGCCATCAAAAGGATTTTCCACACGAGTAGGAGGAGTGGCTTTTTGAGTCCTCTTAGACTGAGCTAGAGCAGCCGCAAAATCGAAGTCATCTTCACTTTCATCCATGAGATTCGCGGGCTCATCCCTCGGCTGAGATAAGGAAATTTCACTCCGATTCAATTGGATTTCTGGCATGTCTTTGTCGTCTTGACCGTGGGTCGGAGATTCCAGGGACATTTGTATAGCGCGCTGAAGCTCTTCGTCATTACCTTCAAGATCATTAAAGATATCGTCGCCGTTAGTGAGATTATTATTAGGGAAGCTCGGACGTCGATCGTTGCGAACAAATAGAGAGTCATCGTCCATGACATCCGAAGGCCTTCTGCCCACCACATCTCCATGCATCTGGTTCATGATCGACTCGTCGAAAGCGCCTTCTCGCAGGAAAGGAAGTCTAGGGAGTCGGTTGAGACCTTCGATTGGGACATCTTCAAAACCGCCGTCGCTGTCATCTGAAAACTCCTCCTTCGGGGCTACCACCTGATGCTGGCCATACTCGTCAACATCGATTGGCCTGTCCTCTTGGCCTTCCTTGTTTCCCACGACACCCAGAACCCAGCCACCCTCGATAGTATTGTCCTTGACCAGAACATACTCCTTGCCTCTCTCACCAGCTATTCTCTGCCCAGATTTGTAGAATGCCTCCTCCCCATTCATGCCGTTGATATTCATTAAGCGTTGCGTAAGATCGTTTCTTTCCTTGACACGCTCGATCTGGAACTTCGAAAAAGCCATACGGTCAGGGAACATGGTGTCTAGTTGCTCCTTCGAGTAACCCATACGCAGGCGACTTCGGAGTCGGGCCGCATTGAGGATGTTGTACCGATCTGTAGCCGGAAGGCTGACGAAAAAGGGACTATCGAAGTCTATCTTGGAGAAGTCATATAGATTAATGTCCTCACCCTGGTGAAATTGCCGGGCATACTCCTCGAGTTCTTCGCGAGACATGATGCGGGGATCGTTGGGCGCGCCCATCTCCGCGAGGGAGACTTGCAAGTCGGGCAAATGGTAGGCATCCTTCTTCCTGAAGGAGCGCGTCTGGTTCTTTTCCTTTTCTGTCATGAAGGCATCATCGACATATACAGGGTTGTCTGGCACCGCCTCCTCCCGTTCCGCGACTCGTTTCTGGCGGCTCGCTGCTGCTGCTTCTTCGGCCGATCTCTGCAACTGCACTGCCAGCAGTTTCCCTGCCGTTCGGACTGCATCTTCGCGGCGGCCCTCTCGGCGTTTCTTTCGGTTATTGATGGTCTGTCGCTTGAGAATTGGGGCGCCGCCGTCAAAGACGAACACCGGTTTGATCCCGAAGTATAGCAACTTGCATATCCGGCGGAAGAAGCCAACGATGTGCGAGTTGCGCAGAGCGTTTCCCTCTTTGTCGCGGACAGCCTTCAAGAACTGGTAGATCCAAATAGATGCATCCACTGCGAGACGCTTCTTGTTGAGCGTTTCTAACTTGATGGGCCGTGCGCATGGCTGCACGACTGTCCACAGTCCATGAACACCCATGCTGCCGGGTCAATTCCCGGTTTATAGCGATTGTCAACCGCAACCATACAACATCTGGACGGCGCGAGAGTGCTTGAAATAATCTAGGTCGTGTTACCGACTCTACCGACCGGAGTCAATCGCTTGTGAGGTACGTGACCCGAAAAGAGGGATGCTTCTCGCGAGGAGATCCCCGCGACGCCACCCTCGCAGGCAGACGGCGCGCGCGATCACGTGGGCTTAATTGCTGCCTATGACGACATAGACCATGTAACCGACACATCTGGCTCCATGTCAGTCACGTGACTGTATGGAACGGCTCCTGCGTTGATGCCTTGGTGCCTGTCAAACTCGGCATTTACAGCCGACGTCGTGTTTTCCTCCGTTCCCTTTGTTCATCTTCCCTCTTGCATTGTCGAGGCTATTGTTCGCCTATTTACTCTACCCTCTGATGAACAGTCTGTGCAATTGATGATTCTCCGGATTCATACTCTCATGTGAACTTGTTGACATCGTGGTTGATTCGGGTTCCATCTTTAATCAAACTTTCCTCATTCCGATCTGAGCACTGATCGGGTTATTATGGCCCCCATCAACCTGCTCACTCGTCTCAGGACGCTTTACTCCAAGGATTACGGTAGGCTCTTCACAACACACTCTCTCAAACTGAGTGCTAACACTCTGTTCAGATGAACCAGCTATCTCAACGGCAGCAGCAGCTTTCTTCTCGGTAAGCGATCGAGACAGCTCGTTCTCAAGTAGATAGCGATGAATCGCCAGGTCACCTTTGACTAAAGATGCGGGTTCCAGGTTTTCCTGACTCTTATTTACGTGATTCCATTCTACGTGAATGTCACCACCCGGCCGTCCCCCACTCTGAGTCGCGATGCACCATCAGTGATCCGCGCGCGAATCCGCAGCGTGACCCTGTCATGCATCGCGAGCACGCTCATCGTCGCCTGGCTGATCATCGGCAAAGACGACGGATCTCTGACGGAGGCCCTCAAACTCCTGGGGTGGTGGCCCATCAGCTTTGCCGACATCTTCCGCAGCCTGCTGCTGACAGCCATCCTCTTCGCGGGGCCATTGTACGAAAGAGGCATCGCTGAGGGCGAATGGAGGGAGTGGGCCCAGGGTAGCCGCATCAGCGCGTCCTTGCGCAGCTGGATCGGCTGGAGGAACTACGTGGCGGTAGGTTTGAGCTGTCATTCTTCACGGCACAATAGCGTGGCTAAGCACTAACAAACAAAAACAACAACAGGGCCCAATCACCGAGGAAATCATGTTCCGCTCAGCGATTGTCCCGCTGCATCTGCTTGCCAAGGTGTCTTCGGGCCACGTCGTCTTCGTAGCACCCCTGTACTTTGGCATCGCGCACGTGCACCACTTCTACGAGTTCCGCCTCACGCATCCCGACACCTCAGTGATCGCAGCGTTGCTGCGCTCCATCTTCCAGTTCGGCTACACCACCGTCTTTGGGTGGTATGCCACTTTCCTTTACCTGCGCACCGGGTCGCTCCCGGCGGTCATTCTCGCGCATACCTTCTGCAACTGGTGCGGACTGCCCCGGCTGTGGGGGCGGGTCGAGGCAGGCGTACCCATCGGGCCCCCATTGGCCAAGGGGAAGGGTAGCAGCTTAGATGAGACGGTATATGGGCAGTTGGGCATGGGCTGGACTGTCGCCTACTATGTTCTGCTCGTCGGGGGCGCGGTGGGGTTCTACTATGCGCTGTGGCCTTTGTCGGAGTCCTTGAATGCGCTGGCCTCTTTCTCGAGTCCGCACAAGAGGACGTAATCAATGAGAGGGAAGGTTGTGGAGCGTCAGCATTGATGTTTGCGTCTGGATTTGATGAACGAGGACGAGATCGCCACGTTTTATACATATATAATATACTTTAATGCGGCCTGAAGCAGGTAGGACATATGTTGAGGTTTAAATTTGTGATTAGGGAGATCAACCCCTCTTGTTCATAGTTCCTAATACAATGTATTCATATTCACAAGTTGAAATTTTTCTAGACAGTCTTGGTGCAAGGACCCCTCACTGCTGCCCAGCACACTCTGCAGAAGCAAACATGTTTTGATCCGACCGCGGGGTATCAGCCCAGACCCAGCACTGACTTCTAAGGTACTGTACAGATGTCACGCCGGGATGTTGAACACGTATGCGCACGTGCAGTGGCTAATATAAGCGACCCTTGGTATGACAGTCTGATTACATGGAGACACGTTAAATATCCTTAGTCATTATCTAAGCCTATAAATACCATCCGAAGTACAATAGCTTCTGAGGTACAGTAGCCTCTCAAGTTGCTTGAAATCCACTATTATACCCTATCACTTCAGCGTAAACGTCAAGGCGAGATCGCACTCCAAGCGATAAGATCTCTAGCAAACCCACTAAATCTCCAAGCTCCGTGACAAATGAATCTCCTACCCGCGATAGAGATCGATGGTTAACTCTATCACCTGAGACAATAGCCGTGGAAAAGTCCCGCACAGTGGCAAGAACCCACGATCACCCGACTACAATTGACTCCCGATCGATCGTCGAACTCAATCGATCCACAAGCTGACACGAGCCACGGCCTGTAGCAGATAGCGCCTCCATAACACCCTCCACCAGAATACAATCCAGCAACAAAAACTCGTGCAACGCAACATGCCAATTAACTCCAAACCTCAAAGCATCACACCCCCCACAAGTGCAACAGCCCCAACCACCACCGCTGCCACCCCCGCACTCCGCACGCGGAACCCAGCCGCCGCCTCATTCCCCCTCACCACCCCAGGAGTGGTAGCATTCACGGCAGCCGCCGCCGAACCCGTGGCACCGGAACTCGAAGCCAGCACGACTGAGGCCGAGTCGCGTGCGGAGTCGCTGGCCGTGGAACCGGTAATCTGAGCCGTTGCCGCAGCAGCAATACCGGTAGTAGTAACCGACGACGACGTAGAAGCAGCAGCATCAGTAGACGCAGAAGCAGAAGCGTACACACTTCCGCCTGCAGTAGCTGTGAGCATACTGGTTCCGTCTGTAGCCTCAGCAGCAGCACCACCAGAGGTACTCGTCGTCGTCGTGGTCTCGATCAGACGGCCGCCTGGACCCCAGCCGGGGAGATAATGCGTGGGTACAGGCTCTGTACCTGAGTAGAGTGGACACCCCGGGACGGTGGTCTTGGGAGGCGCCCGCCCGCCGCCGCAGTCGATGAGTTCGCAGAGCTCGCCCGTGTCGGGGATGTAGAAGATCCGCGTGAAGATGCCGCCTACATAGGTGGTGGAGGAGGTGCAGGGGGGTCCGATGTCTGTTTTGGCGGCGACGAGGGTGAGGCCTAGGAGGAGGGAGATGGTGGTCGTGAGGAGGTTCATGGTTGTCGCTGTTGTTTCTGTAGGGTGGTGGCAGGAAATGAGGGACTGTGGTGAGGGAACGAAGGAGAGAGGAGGGGGATAGGTGATAAAGAACGACACTCGGAGCGTAGAAACAGGAGAACTAGGTTCATGCGTTTCGAAAGGGAATAAGCGAAGTTATATACGAGCCATATACAAAGTTAGCGTTGGAAGATACGCTTGGCAGGGAGTGGGTTCGCTGCTCTGAACGGTGACTGGTGGGACGCCCTCCACTGCGTCCCTGATTCTAGCGCCGCATCCCCATTTTTAGTTCAGGGGTTCGAGACCCTCATTTTCGAGAACATCAGATCGTGCTGGCCGGGCTAGATTGCTGGCCATGCTGCTGGTGGAGGCTTACTTGCGAGGTGACTTGGTGGATGATGAAAGATGGATGCAAGAAAGACGAAGGTGCCTATGAAGCACCTCGTGAACGATCTCGGCAATATATTCCAACTTTCTTCCTTAGCATTGTCTAACCCAATTGTTCTCTACATGATTGTTTCCCTAATAAATACTTCATTGTTCTGTTTGACCGTCGTCCCGAGCATCATTACAGGCATGTTTTCAGGTATGTTTCCGAGTATTGTTACAAGACTCTTTGCCAGCGGTTTTGCAGGCAGCCTTGCACAATGCCCATGTAATCAAGCACTCTCGTCAAGCAATCAACGCAATGCCACTCAATGACCCAACATTACATCACCCTCGCTTATTTCAGATCCTCAGCGAGAGAGGAAAAGGTATTTCAGTGGCAGCCGATCCAGAGGTTCCAGAATCTCCATCATGATTTCTGTTCGCTAGACGGCGGCTCCCTTGGCTAGCAAGCAGCCTGAGGGCTTTGATCAAATCCGGTTCAATGCCTCAAGGGCCTCCTGCGCAAGTTTGATGCTCTTCTCATCCGCATGCAAGGCGTTGGAACATAGTTCCGCATCACGTCTCGTTCGCTTGACTCAGAGATCAGACAGCGTAATTCCCCTGTCACCACTCTGTCTCGGGTGCTCTTCAGTGATCGAGAAGTTTGTCTGTCCCAATCACTGGAACTGTACTTCCGAGGCTGATCATGGTTGGTGGATTCTATTGCAAGGCCATCACGCCCTGTACAACGTAATCAACGCAAACCCCAGGCAGCAACCGCACCGTGGGCAGATCCCAGGTGAGAGAGAAGATGCCTCGCGATGCTAGTTCCTGTTGCTTTGCTGCTTTCCTCATGAGACGAGAGACGTAGCTGAAGATGTTTGACTGATGAGAGACTTCATGATTGAAGGCAGATCATGAAGGGTCTCCCTCGAACGAGTCCCATTTTCCTAGGACCAGTATAGCCCTAAACAAAATGATTGATAGTATTCCCATTCAAAGCTGAATCCTATACTCTTCCATTCGATTCTAGTGCTCTTACCTCACAGGCGTGGACGCTCCGTGGATCGGGCGATTTGCTCTACCACCGTTACTCCCCAGAGATGACGAGCCCAAGCAATGTAGACGAGTGTACACTCACGATTTTGTTTCCTTGCAAAGTTTAACATCGACTCAATGGAAGTTTCTTCAAGGCGGCTTACCTCACGATGAAGACGTAGCTGGTGCATAACAGAGCTTCACCCTCGCCCACTTCTTCCTTCTTTCACCAACTTCGTGCCACGCTTCTTCTTCTTCTGCATCGCTATTGCTCAAGAATCTCGCTGTCGACGAAAATTCGCATCTTCTCCCAACTGATACCCCCCCTATCACCTTTGATAACCATTGCTTTTCACAAGCTTCGTTCATCCACCATGAATATGCCTCCCCCTTATCATTTCGATGGCCAGCAGGAGTGGGCTGGCCGGCAGCATAACGGACCATATCATTATGCTGATCAGCATTTTCCTGGGCCATATTATCCTGTCTTCCAGCAGCAGTGGCCTGCACCACCTCAAATATTCGGCCCTGCAGTATGGCCACATCTTCAGCCGCAGTGGGCTGCACAACAGCAGCCTCCCTTCAACGGCTATTATCCACCCCCATTCCAGCCACCACTACTACTGCCTCCACAACATCAACAACAACATCAGCATCAGCATCATCACCACTATCATCAACAACGTCAACAACAGCATGTGCTTACCGACGAGAATGCACAGTATCTTTGCCCAAGGGGAAGCACCCTCTTGGTTGGCAAGTAAGTGCTGCTATCCCCATTACCATCATCATCGTCATCACCATCATCATTCCCATCACTTGCTGCCACAGCCACTTTCATCTGTTTTCACACAAGGGAAAACCAGTCATACTAACCCCCTCATGAAAATCCAGCCTGAGAAATGGGATCCCCCCTTCCAGAATGTCCGCAGACATCAAGGCGGCAATCTTCGGACGGTGGGCATTCGAGTGCTGGGTGAGGATCGTGAGGAACAGGCGGACCCTCCCTGGGACCCCAGGTGGCAGATATGTTGGATTCGTCACTTTCCAAGCAAGTCTTTGATACTTCCTTTCTTATGCCTGAAGAGTCAAATCGGCCATTGGCCTCTCGTATGAACTGCACCACAGGAGTTGAAGTCCCATTACTGACCATGTGTGACCTGCAGACTGTCGAAGAAGCACAACAAATCTTGACAGACGTCCAGGCAAACAATCAACCGATTGAACTGCATGGGATGCGTCTGCGACTTGAAGAGGCCAGGGGAGAAGGTTAGTGACTTCATTCCTTTCTGTTTTGAACCAAACCAAACAAACAACCTTCCTCTCGTCTGGTTGTGTTCGTTCTTTTGATCGTGCTTCGCTTCTTAATTTGATAAGTTCGGTCTTCCATCTGTTCGTCGATACTGATATCTGTTCTGAATCGTATAGGCATCCACCCACAGCCCATAGTCAATGGGCCTATAGCCAATGGACACACGGCCAACAGACACACGGCCACCAGGCACACAGCCAATGGACCGACAGTCAACGGACATGTAGTCCTAGTAGTGAATGGACACACAGCCACCGGGCACACAGTCCATGGGTACACAGCCGAACAACCAGCTGCCCCTGCTACCCCCTCTTCTTCATCTCAAGAATCGGCTCAGCAGAGTGAGGTTACCCCACCGGCATCCGAATAAACGCGATCGACGCTGTGTCGCGTCTTTCTATCTGCCTGCCTGCAAGCGAAGGTGTTTCGGAGGAGTCCCTCTTTCATTGAATCTTACTTTGTTTTGTTATAGCTTAAGCAGTTGTTTCGTCCCGCTCAACCATGTCGATGTTCATCTGCCACGTATTGGTACAGCCATGTTTGGTGACTGCCGTTTGCTTGGCATCTTCTTACGGTGTATTCTTTGGGACATGGCTTTTCTTCAATTGTGCTGCTGTGTCTTGTGAGATTCCTGTGTTGGTTGCAGTGCTATGTCTTCTTGAAACTCTGATTGTTGCGTCTTGCGGTTTAGCTTCTTGAGTTGTGTTATTGCTGTTTCTGGTTAGTGAATGATGTGAATGTGTGAGTGAGTTTGCTTTCCCTCTGTGCTTACTGTAAACTTAGATGTAGTCTGATCACTCGTAAAAGAAGTGAAGTGTAACGTAGGTCAACAGAATAATAGTGAGAGGAAATATGATCTCATTTCGAATTTCTCTTTCTCGCCAAATCGCCAAAGAAGACAGGTTTGTGGGAAATCGAAGAAACTTTACGGAGTAGTAGGACCGAAATGAAGTCAAAATTTGTGCTGGGTTCGGACACGTCGACCAGCGTTAGTCAGCGTGGCCATGTGGTTCCTATTTATATATAGTAGGTATCGATGAGGAATGTGATACTTATACAATTACTGCCAAGTATTACAGGCGACTTTTGAGGTATGCATATACACATATAGCACTGCACACACAAAGTAGGTTATTAGGTACTGTAAGTTGTGTATATCTACTTCCCGTTGCAGCACAGCCCACACGTCCGTTCCCGAGCATGTCGTCAGGACACGCCGCAGTCATGGGACGGCACCACCACTCACTCTCATCCTCCGCGCCTTCTCGACCAATTGTTCCAAGACCATCTGCCTCACGGAGACAGTCAACCGACATCCAGTCTGCAGCAGCCGCCTGACGGCCCCGGTCTTCTCGTCTCGGGCGCCGAGATTCTTGAAGTTGATGCGCGTCAGATCGACACACATCCGCCACACGCTCTGCAAGACGTCCTCCCACGACTCGCCTGTTGTCGGTGTAGTCAGCGTCACATCCTTCAGCTCCAGCGTCTTCAGACCGCGCACGGCCATCTTCCGGATACATGTCCGCAGGATCGCGGCCGTGGACTCGATCCTCCGGACGGAGAACACCCGGATCCGCGCGGAGGCCAACCGCGCCGTCGACAGCGCCTCGAGGGTATTTCCCGTGGAATGCGCGCGGCCGCGGCCGACGATGCGCAGCTCCTCCAGCGCCGGGGTGCCCTCCAGCAGCTCCCAGACGATCGACGTGCCGCGGTATTCCCGGAAGTAGTCGTCGTGCAGGTGGAGCACGCGCAGGCCGTGCAGCACCTCGGGGTACAGCGCGGGCACGGTCCAGTTGGGGAGCTGGAGGACCTGGTGCCGGGTCGTCGTGGGCTGCTCCAGGAATGGCGCGGCGCGCAGCGAGGTGTGGATCTGGAGTCGCTCGGGCGGGATCCCTGCGTCGTTGAAGATGGTGAACATGACGCGCACCACGTCGCCGGCGTGGATGCAGTCCACGGGCCAGTCCGCGGGCTCGTCCAGGTGGAACTCGAAGTCCCGGCACTCGGTGAACGCGGTAATGAGATCGCAGCGCAGCGCCCAGAGTTCCGGCAGCGCGAGCGGGTCCTCGATCTCGCCGCACAGCGCCAGCCTGTTGAACGGCGAGTTGGGCCCCGTGTACGGGTACCGGATCACCAGCCTTTTGATCAGCGCCGCCAGCAGGTTGCCCCGCGGCCGGGCCAGGTCGCAGTGAATGCGCAACAGGCTGTGATAGGTCAGATTCGTCTCGACGGTCTCGAGGTGCCGCGCGAAGATTGCCTCCGTCATGGGCTTCACCAAGTAGTGCATTCTCCGGGAGACCTGGCGGAGAGAGAGTAAGGTCGGCTCGTCCACGTACTTGGAAATGTGTGGGAAATGCTTGGCAGGCATCGACCCTAGGTTGACAGGAGACATGTTTGGTTGGTTTAACTTGATGGGCGAGGCAGAGGCGAGGAGATGGACATAGAAGGGCTTCAGGAGTGCAAAACAAAGAATGACATTCGACGTTGGGGATTGGAGATAGGTCAAGGTGCACTGACTTTAAGTACTCTGTTTTCCCTCAAGAGGGTCTCTCTTGATGTAAGTTTCTCAGCAAGATCATCTCAAATAGCTGGAGTATTCCTGCAAATCGATGATATTCTTTGTTTGTGCTGGCTGTGTCTTCGCCTGGTGCCAAAGTAACCTCTCCATCTGGCTCAGATAGCTCCGAACAAAGAGCATTGTCTTGCTCTGCGGCAGCTCTAAGGGCATATTATCTACCCGCAATGTGAACAATCACTTGTGCCCTAAGGTTTTATTGTTGAACACGTCATGAGACAATGCATGCTATTTTCAACCTTTTTTTTTTTTTTTGAATAACGAACTGCATATCACATATGTCAGTCAGATATCATCACTAGCCTATTAGACTATTTTCGACTCCCCCAAAATTATGGAATAAAGAAAACATTGATGCTAACATCATGATTGACACAAGCACAATGGTAGTTGAGCTTACTTGGATGTCAACAGCTTCTCGGCCTCGTACTTGAGCGGTAGCATTTTATGATACGCAGCTGCGGAATCGTGCATCCGAAGCTCATATCATGCGCATGATGCTCCCACTACTCAATATTACTGCAGGTTGCCCCTAACAAATCGTGAAAGTAGAATCCTTGTTTATCTTGTCGGGTCTATAGTGTTGCCTCTACTTCATCCAGAACAGTCACCTTGATACTGCCGTTGCGCGGATCAGCACATAGCTCAAGTGCCTCCACAGCTCTCTCCAACGGAAATGTATGCGACACAAGCTTATTCAGATCGAGGATTCCTCCACTGAGACAGGCAATAGCAGGTGGCCAGGTATCACGATAACGATTGATGAACCGCAGATCGATCTATCCAGTCAAAATTTGTTAGCCACGATACGAAGAAGGAAAACACTGGCCTCGGATACTGACCTCGGCCAAGGAGATATGCATGAACGGAAGATTGTTCATAACCGACTTTCCCACCCCAATGACGACGACAGCGCCGCCTCTCCGGGCTGTAAACGCCGCTGTACACACGCTGCTTTCTACTCCGGTACATTCGAGAACCGTCTCGGGAGCGTTATACTCCCTCGACCCGAACAATGCTCTGATCGCCTTGGCATTACCCTCCGCATCCAACGTGCGATCTACCTGATATGTGATGCAGCTGGGGACGAATTCTTTGGCGAATGCGAGTCGCTTGGGCTCGATATCCGTAATGACAATAGGATGGGCCCCAGACGCACGAGCCGCAGCGAGCGCTATCAGTCCAATGGGGCCTGCACCACAGACAACTACTCCACGACCCAATTGTAGACGGGCCACTTGGATCCCACGCATCACGACGGAAAGCGGCTCCAGCAGAGCACCTTCAGCGTACGAGATGTTATCCGGAAGTCTATGTTCTCTCTTAGATACAAGCTCTCAGGAGCGTCAAGGAAAACTTACTTGTGGAGCCATTTGGCAGGATGCACTTTATAACGCTGGAGCGTTCCAGCATAGGGGTAGACACCTGCAAAGTGGACATCTTCGCAGAGGTTGTAACGGCCGTCGTCGCAGAGGAAGCAATTTTCGCATGGGACGCCTGGTTCGACAGCTACTCGATCGCCTAAGCAGACAAATGAATGAGTATCCCGGCTCGACTTCCATGTTATACAAGAGGTACTGACCGGGCTTGAATTCTGTGACACCTTCTCCACACTTCAAAATGACTCCCGCCGCTTCATGGCCGATCACACAGTCACCTTCAAATACCAACTCCCCGATTCTACCTGTTTTCCAAAAATGGATATCTGATCTGAATGCGATGCGTCAGACAGCACAGAAACTTCCATCGACAGCTCCATTTGCGTACCCACAGATGCCGGTGGCCTTTATGTGCAGCAGAACTTCGTCTCGTTGTGGGGCATAAACAGGCGCTGGGACGTATTTCAACTTGTGATCCGCAGTAACCTGAAGAGACGGATTCGGGAATGACGGCGCGAGCAGCTCTGGACCCGCCGTCGCCGATTTGACGCCTGGAGCAACCGAGGGCGCGGGCTGGGGGATCTGGAAAGACGGAGACATAGTGATAAGAATGATGAGGCTGTCGAGATCACTTCAATGCGCCCTCTGAAGGGCCCAGGGCCCCGGGGGATTTTATCATTTATCAGACTCATCGTTGGAGAAGAAAGAGGTGGCGGCCACAGCAAGGCAATCCGAGCCACAGATAGCCGTGGATGTTGTGGTGTGGTGTGGACCAGGGAAGATCAACGATCACCCCGCAGTGCCCGCATTTTAGCGGGGGGAGGCTCGACTTTCCCCGCTGAGTTATCGGCGCTACCACCTACCCGATCGAGTAATGTGCATATAACTGCCGTATACGAGTAGGATCCATCATTCATTCTTCCATCGCCCATGATCTGATCTGTGCTGTACTGCACAAGTCTGGTTCTCTCCCAGTCGAGAAAGCAAAACCGCATCCCATGATGAATTTCCCCACGCTCCCACAAATTTGTTATTTGTTATTCGAGTGTTATAAAGAGCCCCCTGCCTCCCTTTGCAATGTATTTTCAACATTAACAAACTTGTCACTATGGCCGTCGGTCTCGACCACTCACTCGTTAACGGCGCATCGGCTTTGCCGCTGGTGCGCCAGCTTTCCAAAGATCATGACCAAGTCTTGAAGACCTTTCGTCTTCTCATCGCTGATCTGTGTCAGCAGTTCGGTGGAGGCCATCCTGGGTAAGACGTTTGGCAGAGAGATAAAAAGCCGAACAGAGGAGCTGATTAGAATAGAGGTGCCATTGGCATGGCTGCTATCGGAGTCGCACTTTGGCGATATGTCATGCGATATGCCCCCCATACTCCCGATTATTTCAACCGCGATCGTTTCGTTCTCTCCAACGGCCACACCTGCCTGTTTCAGTACACATTTTTGCACTTGACTGGATACAAGGATATGACTTTTGACCAGCTAAAGTCGTACCACTCCGACCGCGTGGACGCACTGTGCCCAGGCCACCCCGAAATCGAGCACGAAGGTATCGAGGTTACAACAGGGCCTCTGGGCCAGGGTATCGCCAATGCTGTTGGTCTGGCCATGGCTACCAAGAACCTTGCCGCCAAATTCAACCGACCTGGCTACGACGTCGTCTCGAATCATACTTGGTGCATGATTGGCGATGCGTGCCTCCAGGAGGGTGTAGGACTCGAGGCCATTTCTTTTGCTGGACACCTCAAGCTCAACAATTTGACTGTCATTTACGACAATAACCAGATCACTTGCGATGGATCCGTCGACTTGACCAACACGGAGGATGTCAATGCTAAAATGCGTGCTTGTGGTTGGGATGTGATCGATGTCGAGGATGGCTGCTATGATATTGAGGGCCTTGTTCAGGCACTGGAACGTGCTCGTGCGTCTCAGAAGAAACCAACATTTATCAACGTGCGAACAGTGATTGGCCTGGGCAGCAAGGTCGCAGGAATGGCGGCCGCCCACGGCGCGGCCTTTGGATCTCCTGATGTTGCCGATATGAAGAGGGCCTATGGATTCAACCCAGACGAAACTTTTGTCATTGGTGACGAAGTCCGAAGTTTCTTCAATGATCTTCCTTCTCGGGGAGAGACACTCGTGCGAAACTGGAACTCTCTTGTCAAACAATATAGCGCAGAGCACCCCGCGCTGGGAGCAGAGTTCCACCGCCGTATGCGTGGAGACCTTCCACCCAATTGGAAGGATCTGATTCCTTCTGAATTTCCAGAGAAGCCCACAGCCTCGAGAGCGTCTTCCGGGTTGGTATTTAATCCGATCGCTAAAGATATTGAGAACTTTATGGTCGGAACTGCTGATCTCTCCCCATCGGTGAACATGATTTGGCCAGGGAAAGTAGATTTCCAACACGTGAGTAGAATCCATTCAAGCAGATCGACTCACACTGACAATTCTTAGCCCGATTTGAGAACCACATGCGGCATCAACGGGAACTACTCCGGCCGGTATATCCACTATGGTGTTCGTGAGCATGCCATGTGCGCCATTTCCAATGGTATGGCCGCATTTGCCCCCAACACTTTTGTCCCCATCACATCATCATTCTTCATGTTCTACCTCTATGCTGCACCTGCCGTTCGCATGGGTGCCCTTCAGCATCTTCAGGTCATTCATGCGGCGACTCATGACTCGATCGGCATGGGTGAAGACGGCCCGACACATCAGCCCATTGAGCTCGCAGCTTTATACCGCGCTATGCCCAATCTTCTGTACATTCGTCCAGGTGACAGCGAAGAGACAGCCGGCGCATGGATTGCAGCAATTGAGGCCAAGAAGACTTCCACGATTATCTCCACTTCGCGCCATGCCCTCCCACAACTGAAGCAGACCCGTCGAGACGGTGTTGCACGTGGTGCATACGTCCTTGAAGAAGCCGAAGAAGCGGACGTGACGCTGATCGGAGTGGGAGCCGAGCTATCCTTTGCACTGGAGGTTGCTAAGCACTTGAAGGAGACTCGGGGGACTGTGGCGCGGGTCATCAGTTTTCCGTGTCAGCGACTGTTTGAGCAACAGTCTATTGAATATAAGAGAGAGGTTCTGCGGAGGCATCAAGATATCCCGGCTGTCGTGATAGAGCCGTACGCTCCCAATGGATGGGAGCGGTACGCCGATGCAGGTATCTCTGTTCGTCGGTTTGGCCACAGTTTGCCGGGCAAAGCTGCGTACAAGTTCTTCGGCTACGAAACCGGGGTGTTGTCGGCAAAGGTGAGCGACTATCTTGGCCGTCTGAAGAAGGGAGAGGCACTTAGAGGTGAGTTTGTTGACCTGTAGATAATAATACAATAAATAATCATGTGACAATGCCATCTCTTATCTCGCTGGATATTCATTATAATTGTCTCAACTGAATTAGAATTGAGAGTCCTATAATATTGCGAATGTTTAAAGAAAAATCGATCACCATACCGATCACAAGCCGACGTCGACTTCAGACTCTAGATTGGCTGCATAGGAGAGGGAGATGATAACTCAGGCATGC